TGATCTCGTTAGAGCGGATCATGGTCGTTGGGAAATAGGTGATTAATTCGTATAATAATTATGTTATTAGAAGATCGACAAATGAGCAAAATATATGAGCATTTTTGTTGGATTATCAGCATTCTACATACTTATTGTTTCTTTTATAGCTATTTTGTTTTCATTTGTCGTAATTCATGTATTAATTATATTTAATTCATAGATAAAGTAGATCCATGCAATATTATTTCAAAAGCTATATAATTTATAGCTTTTAAAATAATTATAATACAATCGTAATAATTCATCATAATAACATCACAATCATAATAATATTATATTATATTAGGATAAATCTTAAATACGCTAAAAGATTTTAAGGGATGATCCCTCACACAAATTCAAAACGAAACTTTACATGATCACAAGATACCAAAATTTTTGGGAAAACAAAACTTTTTTTTTAACTTGGACATCTGTATCTTTGAAGTTAAGCCGTTTCGGACATATGAAGTTTTCATCTTGAATTTGTGTAAAGGATCACTTCTTACATTTTTATTTAAATGTACTTAATATATATGCTATATTAAGCAAATCCATTATAAATAAAAACTAATTAAAATGTTACAAGGAATAAATACTGCAGTCATCATAGGGATATATTTTGTTGAAGTACAAAATTTTATTGAAACAAATAAACAAAAAGCGTAACATTTTATATCAAATTTTATCTTTTTAGAGTATGAAGACGTACCAAAGCGTATGGGAACAATCAACAATCTGGGAAAATTTGATGCGGATTTCTTCGGATTTTCTGTTGAGCAAGCACACGCATGTGATCCAATGTTGAGAATGTTATTGGAACATTCTTATGAAGCAGTTATCGATGCGGGAATTAATCCGAAGCAATTACGAGGAAAAAATACTGCAGTAATAGTAGGATTAGCTTATAATGAAGCATACGTGAAATTTCTATATGAGGATTATCAGGTAGAGAAAATTATTGATAAATACACAGTAATTAATTTCTTGACTGCAAAAATTATAAACAATGACATTTTATAATTAGATAGGCGGCATAAATATTATTGGATGTAGCAGAGCCACAATAGCAAACATGATTTCGTATTTTCTGAACCTGAAAGGGCCATCTTACACGATGGATTCTGCATGTAGCTCTGCAATTCACGCCATAGCTCTTGGTTATCATTGCATCATGTCAGGCAAATGCGAAGATGCGATAATTGGGGCTACATCTTTATGCT